ACGCTTAATAGGACATTCACAAAGCACATACCTTGGCAAAAGTTTTAAAGAAATTCAAAATGGATCGGTCAAAGAAAGGGTTCTTCCCTGTGTTGCAAAGTATGAAGTTGAGTAAGACTCAAAGCCCGACCATGGCAGAAGATAGAGAGAGAATGAAAGTCATTCCCTATGCCTCAGCCATAGGTTCTATAAAGTATGCCATGTTGTGTACCAGACCAGTTGTGTGCCTTGCCATGAGTTTGGCAAGGGGGTACAATAGTGATCCAAGAGTGGATCACTGGACAACGATCAAAATTATCCTTAGGTACCTAAAGGGGACTAAGGAAATGTTTCTCGATTATGGAGGTGATAAAGGGTTCGTCATAAATGGTTACGCCGATGCAAGCTTTAACACTAATCCAGATGACTCGGAGTCTCAATCTGGATACATATTGAAACTGGAGCAATTAGCTAGAGTAGCTCCATACAGAGCTTTGTAGACATAGAAATTTGCAAAATACATACAGATATGAATATGCCAGACCCGTTGACTAAACTTCTCTCACAAGCAAAACATGATCACACCTTAGCACTCTTTGGATGTTAATCACATGGCAATGTGAACTAGATTATTGACTCTAGTAAACTCGTTGGGTGTTGGTCACATGGCAATGTGAACTATTGGTGTTAAATCACATGGTGATGTGAACTAGATTATTGACTCTAGTGCAAGTGGGAGACTGATGGAAATATGCCCTAGAGGCAATAATAAAATAGTCATTATTATATTTCCTTAATCTTGATAAAGGTTTATTATTCATGCTAGAATTATATTGACCGGAAACTTAAATGCATGTGTGGATATATAAACAAATACCGTGTCCCTAATGAGCCTCTACTAGACTAGCTCGTCAATGAAAAGATGGTTAAGGTTTCCTAACCATAGACATGAGTTGTCATTTGATAACGGGATCACATCATTAGGAGAATGATGTGATGGACAAGACCCATCCGTTAGCTTAGCATATAGTTAATTGCTATTGCTTTCTTCATGTCAAATATATTATTCCTTCCACTATGAGATTATGCAACTCCTGGATACCGGAGGAATACCTTGTGTGCTATCAAACATCACAACGTAACTGGGTGATCATAAAGATGCTCTATAGGAATCTCCGAAGGTGTTTGTTGAGTTGGCATAGATCGATATTAGGATTTGTCACTCCGAGTATCGGAGAGGTATCTCTGCTCCCTCTCGGTAATACACATCATAAGAAGCCTTGCAAACAAAGTGACTAATGAGTTAGTTACAATATGTTGTATTACGGAACGAGTAAAGAGACTTGCCGGTAACGAGATTGGACTAGGTATAGCAATACCGACGATCGAATCTCGGGCAAGTAACATACCAATAGACAAAGGGAATTACGTATATTGTCATAACGGTTCAACCGATAAAGATCTTTGTAGAATATGTAGGAACCAATATGGGTATCCAGGTTCCACTATTGGTTATTGACCGGAGTCATGTCTTGGTCATGTCTACGTAGTTCTCGAACCCGTAGGGTCCGCACCTTAACGTTCGTTGACGATATAGTGTTATATGAGTTATATGATTTGGTGACGAAATGTTGTTCGGAGTCCCGGATGAGATCAAATACATGACAAGGAGTCTTGAAATGGTTGAGAGGTAAAGATTGATATATAGGACGATAGTATTCGGACATCGAAAGTGTTTCGGAGTGTACCGGGTGGTCATCGGAGTACCCGAGTGGCCAATAGAGGGGAGCACACCAGCCCACAAAGGGGCTAGCGCACCCCCCATGGCAGCCGCCCAAGTGGGGGAAAGGAAAGGAGGGATTCGGCCTCCCCCTTCCTTCCCTCTTCCCCTTTCCTTCCCCCCTCTGACAAATATGGTAAGGGGAGGGTGCGCCACTTGGGAGGGACCCCAAGTAGGATTCGGCCTACTTGGGGGCGCCTCCTGGCTGCTCCCTCCTCCCCCACCTATATATATGTGGGAGAGGGGGCGCCTAGCACAACCACGACAATTGCTTAGCCGTGTGTGGCGCCCCCTCCACCGTTTACACCTCCGGTCATATTTTCTAGTGCTTAGACGAAGCCTTGCGGAGATAGCTTCACCATCATCGTCACCACGCCGTCGTGCTGCCAGAACTCATCCACTACTTCACCCGTCTTGCTGGATCAAGAAGGCGAGGACGTCACCGAGCTGAACGTGTGTTGAACGCAGAGGTGTCGTACGTTCGGTACTCGATCGGTTGTATCGCGAAGAAGTTCGACTACATCAACCGCGTTACTAAAAGCTTCCGCCTACGGTCTACGTTGCTATGCATCTCCTCGATAGATCTTGCGTGTGCGTAGAAAAAAATTGTTTCCCATGCAATGTTTCCGAACACTTCCCAGCCATGTCCTCACTGCCGGAGATCCCAAGGAGCAAGCATGGGCTGCTGCTAATGGACTCAACCAATTCTGGTTAGTAATCTTTCACATATGTTTAGGTGTTCTAATCATGAGATTGAGATATACGGAAATAATTTGCTACCCATGGTGGTAGCTACCCATGCCCCCAATTTTTATCTAATGTTTTAATGTTAATCCTAAAGGAATTATGCTACCAGTATTGTCATATCATAAAACTAGCACATGTTTCCCATGTACCACTTATGCGGTGAGCTATGGTGCTCGATTCGCTTTCGCCTATCCAGGATGTTAGCCCTCTAGTCCCTCGACAGAGGAAAAGAAGTTTGTTCATTTCATGTGGTATCAGGCAATCGACAGAAATTTGTCCACAATTGAGGGATGGTGGACATATCCCCCCCCAGCACCTAGCATGCCCAATCAGCGTTATGGTGCACCCGGCCATGTAGATTATACTACTCCCTCAATTCCAATGAATAAGGTGTGCTCGCATCCCAAAATTCAACTTTGTGCATAAATTAGACCAATCAAACATAGATTATGGCCTGTTTGTTTGGGCTTTTCCTGACTTTTCCACTTCAGCTTAAAAGCCAAAAATAAAACTCCTATTTAGAGGCTTATGGCTTTGACTTTTAGCTGATGCCATCATATAACAATATTGAGTCATAAGTCAAAAACTGAAGCCAAAAGCGCCTATTTAGGAGTTTTTTGGCTGAAGTGGAAACGCCAGGAAAAAGCCCAAACAAGTGGGCCTATATGTAAATATATATCGTTGAATTCGTTTTGAGAATAAGTTTTCGATGATGTAACTTTGAAGTCACAAATATATTATATTGATCTAATTTATAATCAAAGTTGGGCTTTGGAAACGTGCATGTTTTATTCATTGGAATGGAGGGAGTACATGATGTGTAACATACAAAGAAGAAAGAATGAAACTGGCTACTCTGGTCCGTTGGACATTCGCCATAACGTGCACTCATGCGCTCCATGAGTTAGAAGTAATAGCCTTACAGGGAGCTACTGTTGTATAGTTCAAGTGATAGCTACTCCCTCCGTTCCTAAATATTTGTCTTTCTAGAGATTTCAACACGTGACTACATACGGAGCAAAATGAATGAATCTACACTCTAAAATATGTCTATATACATCCGTATGTGGTAGTCCATTTGAAATCTCTAGAAAGACAAATATTTAGAAACGGAGGGAGTAGAAAACTGTTGACGATGTGCAACTTGTGTTGCACACCAAAAGGTGGCCTCCACTTCGTGGAGCTTCTGTTTTTATTTGTGTTCTTTTCAGTGCCACTATACGGTCAGGTCCACTATGGAGCTTCGGGATCTGGCTGCTGAAGAGAAGAATATCACTGCTGACCCGGCTACCAGTGTTCAGATGCACTGCACGATTCCCTGGCAGTTGGGCAACTCCCCATGATCCAAGGTTCCAAACGGCGTCATCATGATCAGAGCTAGTTCTGATTCTGATTGGGGAACATGGATTTGGAGTATATTCCAGCTAGTATTTCCTCCATCCGGAAATACTCGTCGGAGAAATGGATGTATCTAGATGTATTTTAGTTTTACATACATTCGTTTTTAGACATTTCTCCGACAAGTATTTCCGGATAGAGGGAGTATTTTTTTACTACTGCTCCACTAGCTAGCGAATCGTTCCCACAAATCCATTTGCCGAAACATAGTACTACCGTTTAGAAAATTTAGATGCCGACAACTCTGATCACCGAAGCCTACCAGTCATTGTCAGGTAAACTTCGGGACAAGTGCTCCGCGGATGCTGAGAAAATCGACGGTGCGTGCTCCTCGACCTCGAATCTCAGTCAAGGTCAGCAAAACCCGGTCGACGAAATGCGCTCCTTCGTACACCTGCCTCGTGTCCTACAACGTCTTCCAGTCCCCTACCATTTAATTTCCCTTTTCTGGCGTTCTAGTCGGTCTCGACTGGTCGCACCTTATCACCAACCATCTCATGCTGGGATTGACGGGAGAAATGGACATGTTTGGGTCTATTTTTTTTGCTTTTGAGATTCTCCTCAACCGAGTGCGCGAGTAGTTGACGAAGCAGGGCATACGGACGAAGACAATCCCAAGTTTTGAAACGAAACGACTGCCCTCAATTATATTGTTTTCTTGGGAAGAAACCAAGACATGTCACATCTGGAAGAAGAAGAGAAGAAGAATGAGAGATAAATAAGGGATGAAAAATGCACCACGCAACACGCCACGTCCCATGGACCATTCGTGCCTGCCCGGGTTGACCCGGAGGCTTCCCCTCGTTCGCCGCTTCATGCGCATCACCAACCCGTTCACGATAATCGTAGTACCACCCACTTGATTAGTTAGCTGTTGCCAGTAGTAACCAAACAGTACGCAATTGTACAAACAAATCGTGGGTATGGTGAGAACATGAAGGGCCATCACAAAGAGGTACTTCCCCCGTTCCAAATTACTCGTCGCTAAGATGGATTTATCTAGAACTAAAATACATCTAGATATATCCATACATGCGACAAGTAATTCAGAACGGAGGGAGTAGTACAAGATATAAAAAATATCGCCCGTCTGGGAATGACGTGTGGGACTGGAAGCCACGTGCAGTTGACACGTCGGACAGAAATTCTTGATCCAGATATCTATTCAACTGGACGATCGATCCTATTAAACGCGAGCGCGCGCGCTGCCTCGCTGGTTGCCAAGCAGCGGGCCACCAGACTCGCGTCTCCTCTCCCCCGGCACAGGCACGGCACCGCATCACACCACACCGCACAGAGCGCGCGGTCGAGAGGGATGGCGTACGCGGCGAGCACGCCGGCGGTGCCGGACTGGCTGAACAAGGGTGACAACGCGTGGCAGCTGACGGCGGCGACGTTCGTGGGCATCCAGTCCATGCCGGGCCTGGTGGTCCTCTACGGCAGCATCGTGAAGAAGAAGTGGGCCGTCAACTCCGCCTTCATGGCGCTCTACGCCTACGCCTCCTCGCTCCTGGTGTGGGTGCTGGTGGGGTTCCGCATGGCGTTCGGCGAGCGGCTGCTGCCCTTCTGGGGCAAGGCGGGCGTGGCGCTGACGCAGGACTACCTCGTCGGCCGCGCCAAGCTGTCGGCGACGGAGCGGGGGAGCACGCCGCTCGTGGAGCCCTTCTACCCGGAGGCGACGCTGGTGATGTTCCAGTTCGAGTTCGCCGCCATCACGCTCATCCTGCTGGCGGGCTCCGTGCTGGGGCGCATGAACATCAAGGCCTGGATGGCCTTCACGCCGCTCTGGCTCATGCTCTCCTACACCGTCGGCGCCTTCAGCCTCTGGGGCGGCGGCTTCCTTTACCACTGGGGCGTCATCGACTACTCGGGCGGCTACGTCATCCACCTCTCCTCCGGCATCGCCGGCTTCACCGCCGCCTACTGGGTACGTGCGCAGCTTCCTTCGTTGTTTCCCCTGCATGTCAGAACGGCGAGGCGTGAGCCTGCGTGTTCGGCGCGGCGGCCAGTGCTCCGCCCGGCGTCTCGATCGGGTTCGGCTAACGTGTTAGGTGGTAGCAGCCAGTCGTTGCTAGCCAAGTAGTTTGACCGTGCACAGCGATGTGGATGGATGCCATTGCCATGCCACCGTGGGAATACACATGACAACACAGAATAAAGTACAGCCATACAGTTCTACTGATGTCTGGACCGGAAATTTGCTGGGATAGATACATGTTCTTCAAAGTAACGTTGGAAGATTTCTAAAAATAACCCATGTCGGAAGAAATTAGCGCGAGTGGTTATAGACTTTCTTTTCTGTCTTTGGGCGGTCACATGATACGAGCACAAGTATTTCGCTGATAGCTGCAGGCACCCGGAAAAGGGGTCCAAGAAAAACCGCTTTGCCTCATGGAACGTGTGAACCAGTTGGACCGCGTCGTTTGCTTCGGCTGGCCTGTGCCTGTGGGCGTCGTTGATGGCAGCGCCCAAGACTTGCGGCGCTCCATTTCGTGGCGGGTGCCGTTGCTCCGGGTCCCAATCACTGTGTGTGGCAACTTGAACTAGTACTGGACGGAACGCCCAATTTAATCTCTGGCGGGTCACGGTTACACCGGCTACAAATATCCAGCGTCGCTGTCTGTCGCGTTATCCGACTTTGGTGTGTTCACGGCTTCTCACTGACCACACTGTGGCTGACAGGTGGGCCCGAGGCTGAAGAGCGACCGGGAGCGGTTCTCCCCGAACAACATCCTGCTCATGATCGCCGGCGGCGGGCTGCTGTGGATGGGGTGGGCCGGGTTCAACGGCGGCGCGCCCTACGCCGCCAACATCACGGCGTCCGTGGCCGTGCTCAACACCAACGTCAGCGCGGCGACCAGCCTCCTCACCTGGACCTGCCTCGACGTCATCTTCTTCGGCAAGCCGTCCGTCATCGGCGCCGTCCAGGGCATGATGACCGGCCTCGTCTGCATCACCCCCGGCGCAGGTACCAAACATCTCCTTGCACGCACGTACGGATCGCAGGAGTAGACGGGCTTTTCCTCGCTAATTAATTGGTACTGCTAGCTTATTGAGATTATAGAAATGTGAGGTCGCAATTGATCAATCAATGTGTTGTCGTGGAGTACTAGCACAAAAAAGTCAAATAGACAGCTCGTACGGTAACAAGTCCACACCAACGTAACAACAGTAGTTCATTGCGTTTTGACATGAAATTTCTTCATTAATCTACGTACAGGGCTGGTGCAGACGTGGGCGGCCGTGGTCATGGGCATCTTCGCCGGCAGCGTGCCGTGGTTCACCATGATGATCCTGCACAAGAAGTCGGCGCTGCTGATGAAGGTGGACGACACCCTGGCCGTCTTCCACACGCACGCCGTGGCGGGGCTCCTCGGCGGCATCCTCACGGGGCTCCTGGCCACACCGGAGCTGATGACGATGGAGTCCTCGGTGCCGGGGCCCAAGGGCGCCTTCTACGGCGGCGGCATCAAGCAGGTGGGCAAGCAGCTGGCCGGCGCGGCGTTCGTGATCGTGTGGAACCTCGTGGTCACCACGCTCATCCTGCTCGGCATCGGGCTGTTCGTGCCGCTCCGGATGCCCGACGACCAGCTCATGATCGGCGACGACGCCGCGCACGGGGAGGAGGCCTACGCGCTGTGGGGCGACGGCGAGAAGTTCGACGCCACGCGGCACGACGTGTCCAGGGGCGCCGGCGGCGAGAGGGAGATGGGCACCGCGGAGCAGCGGCTCGCCGGCATGGGAGCCAGGGGCGTCACCATCCAGTTGTAGGAGGGTATCCATCGAGGGTCTGTACTGTTGATGTTTCTCGTAGGACTGTAGGAATAGCGAGGTTTTTAACTGCAGGTTGTGAGTCGCTGATGTGATCTTGGCTGTTGCGACATACAGTATTATTTTTCCATACGACCTCGCGGGCGGCCGGTCGTGAATCTCTGAAAAACTCTCTCGCGGTGGCTGCCAATGGCCAATCCTATTCTATTCGGCGCCTTTAGCGCCCGATACTATTCATTTTCCTAACGGGCGCACACCCCCTCGCACATATGGGCCGGCCCAGCAGTTCATGGCACGATGCGACAACCAATCGACCACTACACCTCTTTGCGATTACTCACATGCTTCTTCACCTTTCTCTTTTCTCCTTGGCTTTTTCTTTTTCTGCCGGTTTTTCCCTTTCTTTTATCAAATTCGGGAAACTTAATTTGTTCATGAATTTCTTCTGGAAAATCGATGAACTTTTTGTCAAGTTTGATTTTTTTGAAATTTTGATGAACTATCTTTTTATTTCGTTCAACCTTTTTCAAATCTGATGAACTTTTTTCTCATTTGTGATGAACTTTTTTTTTAATTCGATGAACATTTTTCCGATTCAGTGAACTTTTTTTCCAAATCGAATGAATTTTTTTCAAATTTGATGAACTTCTTTCAAAATTGATGAAATTCTTTCATATCCATGAACTTTTTCGGAAAATCCGTGAACAATTTTTCAAAATCGATGAACTTTTTTCAAATTTGTGAACTTCTTTTATCAAATTTGATGAACTTTTTTCAAACAAGTGAACTTTTTTTCAGAATCTAGTGAACTTTCTTCAAATTCGGGAACTTTCTTTTTTCTGAATTGATGAAATTTTTTCAAATACGTGAATTGTTCTTTAAAATTTCGATGAACTTTTTTCGAAATCTAGTGAACTCTTTTCGATTTTGTGAACTTTTTCTAGGAAATTTGTGAATTCATATTCAAAAATCGATGAATGTTTTATATATCGTGAATTCTGTTTCATATTTATGTTTTCTTTTTTCGAAAATCCTAACTGGGACGGAAACAATGGTAAAATAGCTCCGGTTTCACTTATTAGACGTGAGATTGATTGTTGTGGAGTGGTTAATGCGTTAAGCCTTTAAACAACGTTCCCGTGCGGGTTCGAATCCCATCTCCCGTAGAATTATAGTGTTTTCTTCGCGTTTTTTTAACTTGCTGGACGCGACTGATCCTGGGCCAGCCCACTATGGCTCACCTTCGAGCACCCAGTTGCCTAAGTGGCACTGAGGGCGCCGAAGAGGAGCTCTCCTGCCAATGTGGTGCAGTCCTGTCCCTCTCAGCGAGGGTTTTGGGCGTGTTTGGTTGCTCGCATCAAGCCCAATCAGGCCCGCACGGGGAAGGAAGAGACCTGTTTGGTTGTCTGGTTTCACTGTTGGGCCTACATTACACGCTTCTCAAAGCAGCCCAGAGCCTGACTCGCTGGAAACGCTTGGATCGGCAGTTTCTCGCGAGCCAGGCTGAGTGCGGCGCGAGGTCACACGGGCAAGTGCGAGGCGAGGGCGAGGGGGGATGGCGGGAGATGGGAAATCTACGCGCCATCCCAACGCCAAATCTAGCCTCACCCCCTTTCACTCGCTCACCCATAGCCACTACCCTCCTTTCTTCCCTACACTATAAAAATACACTTATGTGATGGTACATGTTTGTCACAGTAGGTCATGTTTTCTATCATGCATGTATATCCATGACGATTTTATGACAGAATCAAGATAGGCATGTCTGTCCTGTCGTAGAAGTGTTCCATGACATACCAAAATTATCATCACGGAAGGTTCCACTTCCATGATGATAAATCACGCGTCATAGAAGTGCTTTCGCCAAGGGTGACCGATACATGGCATCCACTGTAAGGGCTCGCTGTTAAGCTATCGGGTCTGGTTTTGGATCTGATAACCTGTTAACAGCCCAGACCAATGGTAATTTTCCATGTGTAAAATTCTCATTGGCCAGAGAAAACACGTGTCTGCTCCTCGGTGGGCCAGATATCGCCTGTCCATTGGAGGAGACATGCCTATGATACGTCGACACGTGGCAGGGCCCAACAGAGGCCCATATAGGTTAAAAAGGTCGGCCCAGTCAAATGCCCGTAGTACTTACTCTAGTACTAGTGGGCCAGCCCAATAACGGCCTGTGTAATAAAGGCCCATTTACGACCCGAAGCCAGATCTGGCCCATTAATTTTCCGCCTACTATTTGGGCCCAATTACAGCCTAGTGACTTTCGGCATGTTAGAGGCCCGATGTAGACATGGGCCCATTTCACCCCGGTGTGTCTTTCGGCCTGGGAATGGCTTGTGCTGCCCATGGGCCATATTGTTGGGTTTCGTAGTAATTTCAAAAATTTTCCTACGCGCACACAGGATCATGTGATGCATAGCAACGAGAGGAGAGTGTTGTCTACGTACCCAACGCAGACCGACTGCGGAAGCGATGACACGACGTAGAGGAAGTAGTCGTACGTCTTCACGATCCAACCGATCAAGCACCGAAACTACGGCACCTCCGAGTTCGAGCACACGTTCAGCTCGATGACGATCCCCGGACTCCGATCCAGCAAAGTGTCGGGGAAGAGTTTCGTCAGCACGACGGCGTGGTGACGATCTTGATGAACTACAGCAGCAGGGCTTCGCCTAAACTCCGCTACAGTATTATCGAGGAATATGGTGGCAGGGGGCACCGCACACGGCTAAGGAATCGATCATGTGGATCAACTTGTGTCAACTTGTGTGTTTAGAGGTGCCCCTGCCTCCGTATATAAAGGATCCAAGGGGGGGAGGAGGCGCCGGCCAGGAGGAGGTGGCGCAGGAGGAGTCCTACTCCTACCGGGAGTAGGACTCCCCTCCAATCCTATTCCAACTAGGATTCCCAAGGGGGAAAGAGGGAGAGGGGTGGCCGGCCACCTCTCCTAGTCCTAATAGGACTAGGGGAAGGGGGGAGGCGCGCAGCCCCCTTGGGCTGCCCCTTTCTCCTTTCCGCTAAGGCCCATGATGGCCCATATGGCTCCCGGGGGGTTCCGGCAACCCTCTCGGTAACCCGGTAAAATCCCGATTTCACCCGGAACACTTCCGACATCCAAATATAGGCTTCCAATATATCAATCTTTACGTCTCGACCATTTCGAGACTCCTCGTCATGTCCGTGATCACATCCGGGACTCCGAACAACCTTCGGTACATCAAAATGCATAAACTCATAATATAACTGTCATCGTAACCTTAAGCGTGCGGACCCTACGGGTTCGAGAACAATGTAGACATGACCGAGACACGTCTCCGGTCAATAACCAATAGCGGGACCTGGATGCCCACATTGGCTCCTACATATTCTACGAAGATCTTTATCGGTCAGACCGCATAACAACATACGTTGTTCCCTTTGTCATCGGTATGTTACTTGCCCGAGATTCGATCGTCGGTATCCAATACCTAGTTCAATCTCGTTACCGGCAAGTCTCTTTACTCGTTCCGTAATACATCATCTCACAACTAACATATTAGTTGTAATGCTTGCAAGGCTTATGTGATGTGTATTACCGAGAGGGCCCAGAGATACCTCTCCGACAATCGGAGTGACAAATCCTAATCTCGAAATACGCCAACCCAACATCGACCATTGGAGACACCTGTAGTACTCCTTTATAATCACCTAGTTACGTTGTGACGTTTGGTAGTACCCAAAGTGTTCCTCCGGTAAACGGGAGTTGCATAATCTCATAGTCATAGGAACATGTATAAGTCATGAAGAAAGCAATAGCAACATACTAAACGATCGGGTGCTAAGCTAATGGAATGGGTCATGTTAATCAGATCATTCTACTAATGATGTGACCTCGTTAATCAAATAACAACTCTTTGTTTCATGGTTAGGAAACATAACCATCTTTGATTAACGAGCTAGTCAAGTAGAGGCATACTAGTGACACTATGTTTGTCTATGTATTCACACATGTATTATGTTTCCGGTAAATACAATTTTAGCATGAATAATAAACATTTATCATGATTATAAGGAAATAAATAATAACTTTATTATTGCCTCTAGGGCATATTTCCTTCAGTCTCCCACTTGCACTAGAGTCAATAATCTAGATTACACTGTAATGATTCTAACACCCATGGAGCCTTGGTGCTGATCATGTTTTGCTCGTGGAAGAGGCTTAGTCAACGGGTCTGCAACATTCAGATCCGTATGTATCTTGCAAATCTCTATGTCTCCCACCTGGACTAGATCCCGGATGGAGTTGAAGCGTTTCTTGATGTGTTTGGTCCTTTTGTGAAATCTGGATTCCTTTGCTAAGGCAATTGCACCAGTATTGTCACAAAAGATTTTCATTGGACCCGATGCACTAGGTATGACACCTAGATCGGATATGAACTCCTTCATCCAGACTCCTTCATTTGCTGCTTCCGAAGCAGCTATGTATTCCGCTTCACATGTAGATCCCGCTACAACGCTTTGTTTAGAACTGCACCAACTGACAGCTCCACCGTTTAATGTAAACACGTATCCGGTTTGCGATTTAGAATCGTCCGGATCAGTGTCAAAGCTTGCATCAACGTAACCTTTTACGATGAGCTCTTTGTCACTTCCATATACGAGAAACATATCCTTAGTCCTTTTCAGGTATTTCAGGATGTTCTTGACCGCTGTCCAGTGATCCATTCCTGGATTACTTTGGTACCTCCCTGCTAAACTTATAGCAAGGCACACATCAGGTCTGGTACACAGCATTGCATACTTGATAGAGCCTATGGCTGATGCATAGGGAACATCTTTCATATTCTCTCTATCTTCTGCAGTGGTCGGGCATTGAGTCTTACTCAATTTCACACCTTGTAACACAGGCAAGAACCCTTTCTTTGCTTGATCCATTTTGAATTTCTTCAAAATTTTGTCAAGGTATGTGCTTTGTGAAAGTCCAATTAAGCGTCTTGATCTATCTCTATAGATCTTAA